TTGGACCTCATTAATTTTAATTTTCCTATAAGCATATATGGCTCCAAAAGTAGGAAGATCAGGTTTATGATTGGGGTGCGCCATATACAAATTAAAAATATACAAAAAACTAAAACATTTAGGGGAAACTATTATAGATCAAGACGTATAATTATTGTAGATTGTAATAATTTCACAAGTTTTTTTTTTATTTTTAGCTTTATTTTTTTCAATTGGGTTGATTTAGGATCAAACTTCGTGGCTTGCATAGGTTTGCTTGTGAGGTTCTTATAGTGTTGAGGAAAAAAATCTATCAATCATTTGTTGCTTAATATGGCAAGAAAAAAATTGATTGCATTGATTAAAATAATTTAATCGGTAGGGATAAAATTTGAAATTGGTACAAATATCTAGCTCCTTTTTTTCCTAACCAAAGACTAAAGTGAGAAAAATATGCTTTCTCCAAGCTTTGAAGGTAGCTTCTTCTTTTTTTTTTTGTATCGTTGGAATCTTCTCGACGAGAACTTTGCTATAGAACAACATATGATAACTTTAACTCTTAAGTGTGACTCTAACATCCATTTTTCTTTTCTTTTATTTTCTCTCTCTTCTCTCCTCGACTTCCATTTTTAACTTTCTCCAAAATAACATTGCCTAAGTCTCTCATAAAATAACAATGTGGCCTACGATTTGTCTTTTATGTTAGATTTGTCGTCATTCTTTTTATTACTATTTACTTTGTATTTTGTATTTTTTTAGTTGATTGTTTTTCAATTATCCTTCAATATTGAACTGGTTAGGAATTAGGCTTTGTAATTTTTTTTTATTCCCCTTCTATAGGGTAATCTTGATTTCATAATACAAGTCTTAAGTCTGAAAGGTTGACTCGAGTTGACTTGGGGTTTTTGTCCTTTTTTAATTGATTTTTTTTATTTCATCTCTTAATATTTGGTTAGTTGTAGATTATACTTTGTAGCTTTTTTAAATTGAATTTCAATGAGATTATATATGTCTCATGATCTGAATCGCAAATTTAATAGGTTAACCCAAGTTAATTTGAATATTTTTATCATTTTTTTAAATGATTTTTTTTAGTTTAATCCTTCAATATTAGATTAATTGAGAATTGAGTTTTTAAATTTTTATCATTTTACTTTCTGTGAGGTTATCTCGTTGTCATGACCGGGTCATAGGTTTATTAAGTTACCCAAGTTGACTTGAGTTATTTTTTTATTTTTTTTTAATTGATTTTTTTTATTTTTATCATTCAATGCTGGGTTGATTCGGAATTGAATTTTATAATTTTTATCGATTTTTTTTATTAGATTATTCTTATAACACAAATCATGAAATTTGCAGATTAACCAATGTCATCTTAATCAATACAATATGTCATCATCTTAATACTAAAAAACAAATGTTGTCAATATATCACTATCTCAATATTTATAAAAAAAAATGTCATCCAATATACATTATTTTCTGAGTCCATAATTAATATATTTTTTACTAAAAAATATATTAGTAATATCTTTATATTTTTTATGTCTAGAAAAAATAAAATTCAATCTACATCATGGTGCAAGGCCAAAAATCTAGTTATATTTTGAAATGGTTGCATTAAGGAATAATAGATAATAAATTCAAATCATTACCAAAAAAGAGGAACTGAGATGGAAGAAAGATAAATTTTAATTTGTTTATGGGTGATTTTGATATATTATATACAAGGATGGTATGGGTTTTTTTAGTTTAAATTTAGAAAATATAGTTAATTTAGTATTCTAATAAATAAAAAATATTCTTTTAAATAGAAACTAGGGCATGCATAATGAAAGATATTTGCACTATTGAGGCAGTGCATGATGCGTCCTACAACAACCCTATGGTAGCTTTCAGTGCACCATTTTGTCTTCACCCCTTTCTATCCCAAGGCAACGTACATGGCTAAAAAAACTTTTGGTTTGGTTTTGGTAACTTTTTTTTTTTACTCTCCACCTCGGTTTTATTGCTTGCTAAGTAATCTTTTAATTTATTTTTTTTATATTTGGTTTATATTTTTTTTAATTTCATTATTCTTTAATTTTTTTTCATCTATCATATTTAGTCACCATTTTTTTATTATTATTTTTTAGTTTTTAACCTTGTATTCTTATTTTTTAATTTTGTCCCTTGTTATTTTTTAATTTCATCCTTAATTATTTTATTTTATTTAATTTTTATTCTAGATACGATAATCATTATTGTTTTGATTTCTTTTGGTTTTATTTTTTAATTTTGAATGATAGAGAATTTTGCTTCAAGAGTTTTTTGTATTTGCTTTCTATGAGGTAACTCAATCTCATAAATTGAGTCACGGGTTTGAAAATTAGTTCAATTTAACTTTATTCCTTTTATAGGTCTTTTTTAAATTAATTTTTTTTTAATTTCATCATTTAAATAAAATTATCTCGTTCTCGTATCTTGTATTATATATTAGTCAAGTTAACCATGGTTGACTCGGGTATTTTTTTTATATTTTGTAATTGATTTTTCTTTATGTAGACTTATATTATTTTAGTTCGCTTAAGAGTTGACTTTTATTGTTTTATTCAAATGTTTTTGTGTGAGATTATCTTTGACCTCACAACTAGATCATGAATTTGACATGTTAACTTGAGTCAAGTCTTTTTATTCTTTTAAAAAAAAAAATTTCAAATCATCATTTACCATTTGATTTGCAGGTGATTAAGCTTTTAATTTTTTTTTTCTCTCTCTTTATAAGGTTATCTCATTATCATTTATTTTTTACTTTGTTATTAAATGATATCTTTGAGATCATTGAAAAATATTTTAAGAATATATTTTTATACTATTGGCAAGCATTTAAATTTTTTTTATTAGTCTTTTTTGTTTTGCTTTTTTTTATTGTTATTGACCTTTTTTTATTACAATGTTATTAAATTAAATGACTTTATTGAACACATTTAAATCTATGACTTGAGTCTTAAGTTTTTCTTTCTCTATTTGAGCATCCTTTTTATGTGCTAGGGAAATTTTAGTTCGGCTTGAGATATAGTATAAGCCACAAATCTAGTTATTGAAAACTCTAAAAGATATGGCATTTTCACCAAAGAAACAATATTCACACACTCACATATTACTGTGGGCTCGTTGTTTATTTTTTTATTAATTTATTTTGATCTTCAAAGTTTTATTTAGAAAAATTTGATCATAATTGAAAATCAATTGCTTTTGATTTTTTAAATACAAGTGGAATCGAAAGAAAATAATCAAAATGAAAAGGGTGCAAAAAATAAGTGTTCTAGATTTTTGGTGAAAAATACTCTTAGGTCCTCCATCTTTAAAAATAATACAATTTAGATCCCTTTAAGTTTCAAAAAATAAATTTTGATATAAAATTTTATTTTTTTTATTTTTTATTTCCTAATTTGAGAGTGAGAGACAGAGATTATCAGATTTTATTAGTAGAGAGATAATCAATATTGACATTAATTTTGACCATAAAAATAATAGATCTTTATATTAATGGGTTTCATTTGATAGAGTTCTACTTTGTTGTTTTTTCACCATAAAATTTCCTAAAAACATATCTAAGCTCAAGAAAATTTTTAGTTTTGGATTGATATTGGGTTTGTGTGTGTGTGTGTGTGTGTGTTTTAGGGTTATTTATGTTTTTTTTTTAAATGCTTACTCTTTTCTAAGTGTTATAAATCAAAAATAGATTGAAAATGAGTTTTTAGATAAAAAAAAATATAAACCTCATTTTTTAACCATCATAGTTCCTATAATCTAGGGAAGACCACATGACATAATCTAGGAAAGACCACATGATGTGTCATCTAAAATTTTTTATTTAAAGAAATAATGAGGCTAACAAAATATCATCCAATCAAATTTCATTTTTTTTTTATATATATATATATATAAAAAAGAGCATGCATGCATGCATGCCTTTTCTAAATGGGTCAAGTTGCTTCTTTTTTTTTGTAATTTTTCATTTTAAAACAAATTGTGGTTTTTTTTAAATATTTTTTTAAATAATTTTTTAATTTATATTTAAATTAATACCCTCTCAAATTTTTTATTTTTTTATTTAACCTTTTTAAAATAGTTTTTTAATTATTTTATATATATTTAATTTAAAAAATATTTTGATTAAGCTATACTTGTATTTTTATGCTTCATATAAGTGAGATTTATTTAGAGAAAATATATTTATATTTGGATAGTATTTTCAATAAGTGCAACTTCCAAGAATTATTCAGCTATAATTTTTATATATATATAATGTGAGATTTATTTAGATAAAATATATTTTTACTATAATTTGATTAAATAAAAAATTAATTTTGATAAACTATTCATTAACAATCAATTTTCATTCATGGTTAATAATTTTTTTATTGAAAATAATATTTAACTGGGAAGTCAAATCCAAATCAGAATATAATCAATCCATACACTCCTCGATGTTGAAAACTGTTAAAACCTGCCCAAAGCCCAGGCCATTTACACCATGGAAAACAAATTTACTTCGAAGAGAGCAAAAAAAAAGGATGTCTTATTATTTTTTTTATTTTTTTTATTTTATTTTTATTTTAACATGGTCACATATATTAAATGACAGATTTTATAAAATATCCTTATTATTTTTAGAAAATATAACCTTTATAATAGGAATAATTATGTTAGAGATTATATAAATCCTACAAAAATAAATACACCATTATCTATAATTTTTTTTAATACATCTTATTTTAATTTTAATTTTAAATCAAGTATTATTTAACTTTTATCTTTTAGGGTTTAAAATTAAAAAATCCAAAAATTTTATTTTTTATGGTTTAAAATTAAAAAATCCAAAAATTTTAAGAAAATTTGAAGCCTCGGAATAGAAAACCCAACATGCTCCTCCTCCTACTCCTTGAGACTTGTGAGGTTAAGGGCGACTCCATGTGACATCTAATAGTGTAATTATGATCCAGCCCCCTCCTTTAAAGCGCACAAAGCCCAGCTTATAAAATCAAGTGGAACATTTTATTACCATCATGCAGATGCAAATCCAGTAGGCGACACCAAAACTTTAAAAGCGGAATAAAAGTAGCATAGGGAAGAAAGTAGCATAACATGTTTTTCAGAGTACACATGTAACAAGAGGATCACATCAGCATCGCCTCTGAACTAAATAAATATTGTCACATACCACCACCTTGGTAAAGGACCAAGTCTAGCAGTAGATCGCCAATCGTAATTAAAGAAAACAGAAATAATACTCCCTAGTAACCGAGCAAAGGATACGATGAACATTTGGCTCGAAACAATAAACAAGCCCCTTGTCACCCATCCCCTCCTCTCTACAAGCTGCTTTCTTCATCCTGGGGAAACTAAAATCACCCACTCGGCCTCGTGATACTCAACCACTATCCGAATCTGTCCCTGTGATCCAACTCAACTCAATCAGACAACCTTGCCTTCATCTTGAGGTGAGCCTTGAAGTCCATAATGTCGCCCTCCCACCGGGTAACAGCCTGATTCTCACATACCCATATCTCCTGCGCTACCTGGTTTATGAGCCTGAAATCATGGCTAACAAGAACCAGACCCCCATCCCACTCATTCAATGCCTCCGCCAGGGAGTCGATGGTCTCAATATCCAAATGGTTGGTTGGCTCATCCAGAAGCAGCATGTGGGGTTGCCTAAATGCCAGCCAAGCAAAAATCACCCTGCTCCTCTGCCCATCTGACAAATTATTCATGGGCATCACCTGGGCCTTGCCTGTCAACCCAAACTTCCCAATCGCTGCCCTCATTTTTTCTTCCTCATTCCCTGGATACTCTCTTATCATAAAAAGCAGAGCAGATAATTCCAGGTCTAGTTTCTCAGTCAAGTGTTGATGAAATTGCGCAATCCTCAAGTGATTGTGCCGGCGAACCATGCCATCTAAAGGAACCAAGTCACCCGTCATTAGCTTCAGCAAGGTACTCTTTCCAGCTCCATTGGGGCCAACCAGCGCAACCCTAGAGTCCAGATCGACACCAAAGTCAAGATTCTTATAAATAAGGTTATCAGGCGTGTAGCCAAAGGTTACTTCAACAAACTGAAGCACGGGTGGTGGGAGCTTCCCCACATCAACAAAGCGAAAGACCAGAACATGGTCTCTCACAACCCTTTCTGTAAGCCCACCACGTTCCATTTTAGCAAGAGTTTTCTCCTTGCTCTGCGCCTGACGAGCTAACTTTGCTGACCCATGCCCAAATCGGGCAATATACTCCTTCATGGAAGAAATCTGATCCTGCTCCCATTTGTACTGTTTCATCTGGTTTTCTTCCAGTTCAGAACGAGTCTGAACATACTGATCATAGTTACCAGTGTAGATTTTCAATTTCTTGTTTTGCATGTGGATAATGTTTGTGCAGACACCATTCAAGAAATCCTGAGAGTGAGAAACCACAACTAGAATGCGTTCAAAGTTCTTTAAAGTTTCCTCCAACCAGACACAGGCTTCAAGGTCTGTCACAACATAAAAGAATTGATCATTAACAAGAAACTTTTGCAGATTTCACAAACCCCTTAAAACTCCTCCCAGGCCATTCTTCTCCCAATATATGAGAACTGAACTTTAAAGAGTCAAACACACTTGTGTGCCAACAAACAAGGAAAATAGCATGAAAAGTAACTAACATAAAATTGTTAGATGGTCATAACTTTCAACATTTCACCCAACATAATAAAACTCAATTCGGTATACTGTCTGCCACACAAGCTGAAAAATAAAGTCCCCATGCTAACAAACATCAACAGGAGAATTCCAAAAAGTTTTGCATTATCTGAAAATAAATGAATTTCCTTGCTTTTAGTCATGGCAAATAAATCACGTGAGTTTGGCCCAAGTCCTCCATGTTTTCACTGAAACAAATGTCACAGGATTGGAACTAATTGTCTGTTTTGAAAAATTCAAGTGAAGAGTTGAATTCAAATCTTCTATAGAAATGAGTAAAAAGTGCAGATGTTGATAGAAGTAAATAGTTGTCCAATAGTTTGGTGTTCAAATTTCTTTTTTCCCCCTTATTGTTGACCACAAATGGGATTAAAAATACTTGCAAAACAGAACCCCTTTTTATGAATATATTTCTGTCGCATGGTGTGTGACCATTCAACGGTAATCCACATGAAATCAGACCCTTCAAGGTTGAATTTCAATTGGGTGGAAATCAACGTGTAGAGCTGAATTTCCTAGAAAATCCACACTTCCAAACATAAAAATTTGATGTCATATAGAATTGTAAGTTAGAATGTGCAGAGAAGAGTTGGAAACTGGTAAAAAGAAAGACAAACAATCTATGATTCAGAATATGTCAGTCATTATACGCCTTAAGTTCTTGGATAGATCCAACTCAACTAATAAATCCAATAGAATTGAATTGAAATCATTACTGTAACCAATATTCTAAACAGGCTGTAACAGGTCATGATTTCAAGTTACATGTGGACCTGTCACTGATGTTTTTGTAGATTTTTGAATGAAGAAAATCAAAGGGCTTATAAGGATGTGCATGCAAAATTCACACTTCTTAGGAGAGTTCAGACAGAAAACTTAAGAATCTTCCCAGAACAACTTGCATTACGGAGCTTTTTTTCTTTTTAATATTTGATAGTTTTTTTGACTTCTCATGATACAGTGTCATGGATAAAGGATTCACATCTCATGCTCAATAGGACAGGACATAGTATAGTTTTCTTATCTTGAGTTTTGCTTTCTGTGTCATGGATAAAGGATTCACATCTCACGCTCAATAGGACAGGACATAGCATAGTTTTCTTATCTTGAGTTTTGCTTTCTTTTCCATCAAGTAGGGTGTTGTGGTCTCCTAAATGTACTTGCAAACATTCAAGGCAAGAACAGATTTTAAATCCAAAAAATCCTAGTCCAGTTTAACATGCAGAAGAAAAATAATGGCATGTACTTACAAACTCACAAATCCCTAGAGAGTTTTTCTTTTCTCAAAAAAACAAAGTAGCCAAAATACCACACAAGAGATTTGGAAAATGTAATGAGCAAACATCAGTGCTAGGGGAGCTTACCAAGATGATTGGTTGGCTCATCAAGTAAGAGGACAGTTGGGTTCATGAACAAAGCCCGAGCTAATGCAATCCTCATTCTCCAGCCACCAGAAAAATCTCGAGTTTTCTTTGCTTGCATTTGCTTGTTAAATCCAAGACCAAACAAAATTTCAGCAGCACGTTTCTCTGCAGTTGCCACATCCATGGCCTCCAAACGCTCATAAACACGATCAAGAGCTTCTCCACCTCCATCATCCTATATCCAAGCCAAGCCAAGCCAAAATAAATGATCAATCACACATGGAAGTCACAATAACATACATCATTCACATGTTCTGAAATACACCAAAATTATTTTTAGTCACAAGGAAATACCTGTGCAGCCAAGGCCTCTGCTTCTTTCTCCAACTCCAACCTCTCCTCATCACAGCTTATCACAGCCTCAAGTGAAGACATGTCAGAAGCTTCAATCTCCCTGGTGAGGTGATATATGTCCATGTGCTCTGGAATTGGAAGCTCTCGACACCCTATTGCAGCTAGGAGTGTTGATTTCCCACATCCATTTAAACCAAGCAATCCATATCGTCTGAAGTACAAAATGATGAACAGATGGGGAAAAAAATTGAATGAATTTCTTTTTCAATATGAAGTTCTATGACACATGCACCAATTAGGTAAGAATATGCAAACCTGCCATAGTTTAGCTCCAGCTCAGAATCAACAATGAGATCATGTCCATGAAAAGTAACTGACAATGATTCAATCTGCAATGAAGATCTAAGTTATTTTCCATAACATTACCTTTTGAACCAAGATTTCAACTCTATACAAATAAGCAATAAAAAAAACCCTCATCACTTGATATTACCTCCTCCAAGGAATCCCAGAAGGGTGAACAATAGCTTATATTCATTCAGAAAAGAAAATTTTTAGTCTATACATTGCATGTTCACGGTTGCCAGAATGCACTGATGACAGACACAGCTGCTCGCACAGGCACTTGTCTAGGTACACCAAGCTAGCAACAATAAGCTAATGGTGAGACTAAATTATAATTCTGGTGTGATGCGTGCAAGACTAGCAATCATATAACATAATATATCCTTTGGAATATATCAATTGAAGAAACTGCACGTTAATATATCTATTAAAATATCGCAGGGCATTTGATTTAATATCTATATGATCAGAATCACAATCAGAAATACAAAAAAAAAATCAAAATAATTATCTTTAGATATTGAAAGCAAGATATGGCAATTGGAGACACTCTTACAGCTAACCAATTAACCCTTACAATAAGCTCTTGCAGCTTAGAATTAGAGAACCATCTAAAAGAACCTTGAGAAAAAAAATGGTGCGATCAAATTAATTAAGGAGCCTAATAAAAAAATTAAGTAAAAACCTGCGTTATAATCAACATCTAACAAGACTTAGAAAAAAAAAAGGTCAATAAAACATAAAAATAAATCAACCAACCAATCAATCTATATATATATAGATTAAGCTTTATTATTTAAAAAACAAAAATCAACAAACATACGCGGATATCTCTGGAAAGAGGATGTGAGCATAGGACGCCAGTACAAGTCCGATCGGAAACCTGAAGAGCTCCAACTCCATTCGACAACTTATCAACAACTCCATTCTGCGAATCGGCAGCCGCCGCTGCTTTTGAGGAGGTTGCAGCTGCTTTTCCACCTCTCTTGGCAGCGGCCGCCGCCTTCTTTTGAGCAGCCTTCTTCTTGCTGGCGTCGGAAACCATGGTTATATCAAGTAATTGGAGAGAGAGGGATCTAGGGTTTGGTTTTGAACAGATGTTACGGTTGTGTAATAGAAAACCCGTATAGGAGGGTTATGGGTGAGAGAGGGTTTGAGGAGAGCCGATGATCTAAATATTTATAGACGATTGGTAGACACGTGTACGGTTGTTTACTATTCTTTTTAACGGCAGATTAGAAGAAGTTAGCGCTTGTTGTCATGTTCAGGTTTTCTTCAGTTCCGTGCCTAAATGCAACTCGTGACTGTTTGGTATGTGAATGTGTTAAAATTGGATTTGTTTAAGCTTTTTTCGTCATAAAACAATGGTACGATCAATTTATATTAGGTTTTGTTATCGAAACGTTATGGTGATAGCTAAATCCTTCTCGAAAAATATTTATATTATTGGTGTGTTGTTCAGGTTAGTTTTTTTAATATAAAAAATTATTTAAATATTATTAATATAGTTTTTAATAAAAAAATATTAATTATGATATAATGGAGTATATTTTTTAAAATATTAATATGTCAATATATTGAATAATATTTTAAAAAATATTAAGATGTCTATATGTTGAACCAATTTAAGTTAAAAAGAAAATTAAAATAATTATAAAAACCAATTCCTAATCAATTTAATATTAAAAAATAAAATTAAAAAATAAATTAAAACGATGTAACAAATCAATCTAAATTAACTTATGAAAAACTATGACTCGGATCATGAAATCAAAATAACCTCATTAAAAGCAAATAAAAAAAATACAAACCCAATTAAAAGTATATTCAATAAAAAAAAATATAGTCAACATAAGCCAACTTGTCAAACTTGCAATGTAGGTTATGAAATTGGATAACTCCATGGAAAACAAATAAAAAAATATAAAGTCTAATTTTTAACCAATTTAATTTTAAAAGATGAAATTGAAAAAGAAAATCAATTAGAAAAAATAAACTAAAAAACAACTTGAGGCAACTCATGTTAATTAGTTAAATCTACAACTTGAGTCATAAAATTAAGATAAATTAATATAAAGATGTCAAAAAATAAAACATTTAATGCATACCAGATGAAACACTTTTAAAATATTTAAATGATGACATGTTTGATGACATTTTAAAAAATAAAATTGAGACGATAACTTATTAGATTGACTTAAATCAACTATGATTAATCTCTAAAATTTATAATTTAGGACATGAGATGGGCAATGACCCCATAAAATCCTTATTGAAATAAATTATAAAGGGTAGTTTTAAAGAACCAAATATTAAAGGTCAAAAAAAAAAAGTCAATTTAAAAAAAAAGATGTAACAAAAGTGGCTCTAACAAATCTATATTGGTGGTTGGCATTATACCTCAGGCCAGACCAAATTTTTCTAAACACTAACAAAGAAAAACATTAAGGTGATAATAGAGTTTATAAAAAAGCAATATAAAATAGAGATTTCATTCATTAAGTCGATTGGGTTTAATAAGCATGGCTAATCTAATAAATGTTTTTTTTAAGCAATCCTAATTTAATAGTATGAAAAATAAAGTAAACCCAGACAGATCTTCTAAACCTAGGTTAATCATCCAAATTCATGACCTGTGAAATCCTAGACCCAAACTCAATTAAAAAGCCTAATTGCTAACCAAATTAACATTAAATGATAAAATTAAAAAAATGATTAAAAAAATTTGCTAAAGAAAAAAATAATAAAATAATAAAGATCAAATATGATAGAAAAAAATTAAGAAGGATGAAATCATAAAACAAAACTAATTTTAAAAATCACCTAATTTTAGAAAATAACAATAACAAAAATGTGGGCTAATTTGAGAGATGAAAAAATTGAAGGGTGGATGAAATTAAAAATAATTTTCAAATTGAAATAATTTATTCAAATAAAAAATACAAATAAAATAATAAGAAATAAATTTAAAAAAAAATTGAAAAGCTACTTTGAAGTATTTTAAGGACAACACTTACTTTAAGGAGGGGAGAAAGAGAGGAAAAAAAAGTCTTACCGATACCAAATTAACAAGGATTACAATACATATATTACCTAAAGAAGGAGGCACCACTAAAACAAATAAAAATAACACTAAGAAAGGTTGCTTTTGATCATTGGTAATTGCCATACACTCTGTTTAAAGATAATATGGTGACTCATACACTAGAATATATGTTGCACGCACCAAAATTAACATTTTTATTGCATTGGACAAAGAAAATATAATTTGAAGTATAATACTTTTTCATAAAATTTGAATTTATAGGCTTTAAAAAATCTCTTTCACCTATATCTAATAAAATAAGAGCTCTTCTGAAAAAATACATTCTTGACTTTATAAAAAGCTTTATAATTAGGTGCTCATTTGTTTTAATCCTTTTTAAGAATCAGTTAAAAAAATTTCAACACCAAATCTCTTCCATGAAATTCTTGAGTTTGTATTTTCTTATCAAAAGTTGTAGTCATTCTCCTTTGATATAGTTGTCTATGGAAAATTATAGCCAGTCTTATCTCACTGATAAAATCCAGTTATTCATCCTGATTTTTGGTCTATTCCGACTTTTTTATCTTTGTTTCTTTTAACAATTTTAGAAAAGATATTTCAATTTCTAAAAACATCACCATATCTATGCCATATACTAAGGAATACAAGGTTGCACATATTGTTGTTCTAACAATAGTTTGGTATCTATACAACTTATATGAAAACATTAATTTCATGCTAGTCAAAGTTTTTATAGGCGATAAGTATTTTTTAGGATAATTTTTTTATATTCTTATTTGCTGTTTTCACTGCTGCATTTATCTTCAATTGATAAAGTGAGGAATTCAAGTGCTTAATCTTTCATTATTGGCAAAGATCTTAAATAACCTTGCTATTAAAATTATAAGCATTACCAATTAAGAGTGCCTTAACAAACCATACTACCAAGTAATATCTTTTTCAATAAGTCCATGAATTATTTTTTGTGTGACATGAGCATAAACAGTCGCCTCGATTGAATTTATAAAGTAACCAATTTTAACTAAAACAAATCAATATCCATTACTTTCTTAAAGATTTATCGTGTTAATTGTTAAAGAATAACATAAATTATATTCTGAAACTTCACCTAACAGTTTAAGCTATTAGATTGAGATGGTTCTCGACTTTGATAAAGTGTTGGATATTATGATACCAGAGCTTCATATCCTCTTCCATTTCACTCAAGCAACAACAATATGCAGGGGAAATCTTTATCTCAATATTCACAAGTTAGATCTTCACCTTACCCCTAATTTAAGTCATCAAAGCTAGTGTACCTAGTGCATCTGTAATTGATTTTTGTTTCTACTCAAATGAGCAAATCTAGTCTCTTTAAAATGAGCTGCTAGTTTAATGAGGTGTTCTTGGTAAAGCTTTAGTTTCATCTTTCTTTCTTTTTTGGCCTTTTGACTTTCCTCTCCAAAACAGCCTCTAACGTCTAGCCAATGAATACATGTTTTGTATTATATTATGTTAATGGTACATTCAAACTTTAATTCAATTGTTATTGGATACTATTTAATGATGGATGAAATGAGTATTGCAATTATTCCATTATAGGAAACATTGGTAGCCCCCATCAAATAAAACCAATGATTGAATTTAGTCTTTCCTTTTCTAATTGATAATAAACAAGTATTATTCTTACTTCACGTAATGTCTGTTTGTTTGTTTTTATGTAAACGTTAAGTCATGCTTGTTGGTCATAAATGAAGAATTTTTAGAGATAGTGATGAAAATCACAACGTAATTCTTATGGTGTAGAATGCTGCTTTATATAAACAACTATTATAATCTAATAATAACAGTACAAGCTCTATAAGTAAAGATATTTAAGATTCTATACATACAACTAATCAACTCCTATATAACGTCTTGATTTCCATGGATTGCTCCTTGATGCTTGGAGTGATTATTGCTCTTTGATGCTAGGAGTGATTTTCTGTTTGATTGTTGCCTTGATTATCTCTAGAGTATAATGTGTTATTATCACTAACATCACCCATCAAGTCAAGCGTAGTTGGCAACACACGAAGCTTGGATCAAAACAGTAGAAACAAGGTTTTGGATGGACTTTTGGTAAAGATGTATGATATTTGTAAGGTAGATGGTACATGTTTAACTATCAATATACCATTGCAGACTAATTCTCTAACAAAATGAACATTAATATCAATGTGTCTAGACCTTAATTAAGTACTAGATTCCTAGTCATGAAAATGGCATTGGTGTTGTCACATAGTAAAGTCGGCTGTGCTGTTAGTTAAATACATAAATCATGAAGAATGTTTAGCAACCATTTAACCTCAGCTGCAATGAGTGCCAATGCTTTATATTCTAATTTTGCTGAAGATCTAGAGATTGTGATATGCTTTTTAAAGTTCCATGAAATCAAATTGTCACCTATAAAAATTACATACCCTGATATTAAGCGACTGGTTTTTGGACAACTAGCCCAATCAACATCTAAAAAAGCCGAGATGTTGAGATGACTTGATGGACCGATGCTGAGGGTTAAATGGAGAGTTCCTTTAACATATCTGAGAATTTTTTACAACCTAAAAATGTGATTCTCTTGGTGCATGTATGAATTGGCTTATTGAATTTACTACATATGTAATATCCAGCCGGGTAATAGTGAGATATTGTAACGAACCAACATGAGATTGATAGGTTGTTGGTGAATGAAATAGAGGACCATCAGAAGTTAAATAATGGTAAACAATCATTGGTGTTGCTATTAGATTTGAATCATGAAAATCGGTCCGGATAAGAATATCTCTTGCATACTTCACTTGGTTAAGAAACAGTCGCCATGGAGAATGAGTGACTTCTAAACCTAAAAGATAATTTAGATTGCTAAGGTTCTTCATAGAAAACTCCCACTAGAGCTTGTGAATGAAAGTGTCAATAAGAGATACATTGTTTTTGGTGATGACAATATCATCCATGTATAAGAATAAATAAATTATGTCATTGTCTAATGAATGAATAAATAAACTGTAATATGTTATGCTGCAAGTGAAACCAATTATGAGTAAAAAATTGTTAAAGCAATTAAACCAAGCTCTTTATGCCTGTTTCAAACCATAG